CATGCCTAAGGCTTCAAGCAGCTCTTCAGCACACCAGGATGCCAGACTTGCAGCGATTAATATACGTTTCGAATCATATGTTCTTCCTGCACTTCATGGAGTAAGCACAGCTACACAATTTGGGGTAGTATGTATTGACGTTGAAGGGTAAACTAACACACAAAAAAAGAAAACCTCATAAATATGAGAATGAGACCCAGAAAACTGCAGTGGGCGTCCGATGCTTTCCTGAAGCAGGAATATTTAGGTAGTTACAAGTTATAACGAACGATCAAGGCTGCCATTATTTCTTTGTGCATATAGTATTTCGTTTGACCTGCATTGTGTCACTTACACGTGCCTGTTCGCATCACCTGCGCGATCTCATGTGCTTCTATGTATAGAGAAGTGGAGATCTTTCCCTGAACAGCGCAGGCTGAATGTTGAGTGCGCTGAGCAATCAGTCTCTGACTCCTCCAATTGGTATGATTAGCATCTCGGCCGTGTAGAAGTATGTATTTCACCATCTCTCGCCTTAGCCATCTTTCGCGCTAGCGCAGCTGTCCGCGATGGTCGCCGATAGGTGGACGTTCGCGGTTGACCGCGATTGCCACTCTGTTCCTCATGTCGACCTTATTGAATGAGTTGGCCGAAAGCGAGAACGGCGGGTTTCCCTGCGGGAAAAATCCGCCTTTATTCACCGCGCGTCACAGGGCCTGCTTTACGATTGTGCTCTGCGTGCCTTAGTGTACTTGCGACGAAGCAAGACGAAAACGCCGCGCAGCGAGAGGTCACATAGCCTGAAGGATATTGTAAAGTCTACGACCTCAACCCAACACTCGTGCAGGACCGAGTAATGGCTCTTATCACTGCGTGCTGATGCGTATGCTATACAACTGTAAACTGCTACATAAGTCTTCATGCTCTTGATGAATCCGCTCGCTCCAGTTCTTTGCCCTCTCCAGTTCGTCTGTGTGCCGATTCCGCCAATCTAAAAAAAAATTATTGATTCTAAACAGCACTTTCACACTACAAGGTATCTACAACGGATCAAATGGTTTCAGAAAATTATTGAAGGGAAAAACTAAAATTTGTGATGAAAATTCCACGGGTACGGAATTTCTGAGGCGTACATACATTTGGCAGTGAGGCTTTCAAAACAGCTGCCAACATTTTAGCGATTCCAAATAAATGCAAATTGTACTTAGAAGTGATAACATTCATGAAGCAATACTTTGTAAATTAAGATGGCCTTCCTTATCATGAATGACGAAAATTGTTCGCATGGCTTTTCCCAACGAAGGTGCAAAAAAAAGAAGCCTCAAAAAATTTTTTGTTGTTGAAAAGTGGTCGTATTATAGAACTTGAATGTGTGAGGTAGACTCGTGTTAATTGCAGAAAATTCGCGCATAGGGTCGGAACCATATCAGAAAGAAGTATTAAGGTTCAAAACACGGCCCCCCAGTTTTCTGAGGGGAACCGTATTTTCTTTTACTTAAGGAGGAAAACTAGAAGTGGGAAGGTGACGATATACAGTAACCGTGTCTAAAAAGATGAAAAAAAGTTTGCACTTAAGCCAACGTCTAAAGAACGGGTACATAGAAAAAAAAACAAAAGAAAAAAAAACCCTATTGGTCAGCAAGCAGTGATCACGTGAGCGAATCAGGGTTTTCATTGAGATACAATTAATAATGGGCAGGTATCTGAAGAAAGTGATACATTCGTTTCAATATGTTCGTGCGTTAGTATGCTTGAAGTTTTATATACACATACTGCATCAGCCCCCCCCCCCCCCTCCACCCTCTTCCGTTATGCCAATGGCTGATTGATTGATTTGTGGAGTTTAACGTCCCAAAACCACCATATGATTATGAGACGCCGTAGTGGCGGGCTCCGGAAATTTCGACCACCTGGGGTTCTTTAACGTGCACCCAAGTATGAGCACACGGGCCTACAACATTTCCGCCTCATCGGAAATGCAGCCGCCGCAGCCGGGAATTGATCCCGCGACCTGCGGTTCAGCAGCCGAGTACCTTAGCCACTAGACCACCGCGGCGGGGCTATGCCAACGGTTAGAAGCAACATCCAAAGCACAGATACCGTAAACATATTTTGTCACTATTAAACAAGATTTCTTGTCGTAAGAAAAAGAAAATGTTAAAGATTAGGCCTGTTTCTTTAACAAAACAAAGGGGGGCCCCGTGCATGAGAATAAGTGCTGCTAAGCAAACGACCTAGTAAATCTCTCCCAAGTTTCAGTGAAACAACGCTTCATCGGCAGGGTTTTTGTTGTAGGTAGTGTTTCTGATGTGCGAAGTGTTTAACACGGTTCCATTAAGCTTCAAATGACTAATGACTGTTTGTCTGAAGTGATGGGAAAGACCAAAAACCAGTGTTGTATGACGCTTACGGATGAAGAGGAAGCTTGGTTGAAGGACGCGGATTGGCACTTCCTTTCGGGAAACGGTATCGAGCATACAAAGTTCGGGTGAAACGTACGGTAGTGAACGAGACGAAGCTGACTGTTCGTCACGTACACACTACGGCGGAGTTCCTGCTCAAGCACGAAGAGCGTGAGAAAAGTCACTGCCGTGCAAACGCAGTTCCGCAGTTCTGTCCCTGTCCTTGTGACGCCTTTTGCATGGCCTTCAGTTTTCGGCCGATCGTCCCACGCGCTTGTTGGAAGTTGTCAACGAGCGGCGGCAACAGACGTGGCGCAGGGCGTTTGTTCGCTAGGAATGCCAGGAGTCGCTGCTACGACATCGTCCTATTTGCGTCATATCCGGTTCCCGGACGGGACCTTGCTACGCGTGTGCCCTGTTGCTGGTTGGCTCGTTTCTTTAAACCCGCGTATATGAACACTTGCGCAAACGAGGCCCACGCGCGCCCGAAGAGTGGTTTGGCCCAGTAGCAGCGCGGGGAATTCTCGGTCGCCCTGTGTTTGTGTTGGGGCTGTCTACATCCGGATGCTTTTCACGAACGCAGGACGCGGCCGCCGGTAGCTGCGGAGAGGGAAGCGCGCACTCGTGTCAGCTTGTTCCTGTTCGGCGCTGCTCTTGAAATTTTTGTTTCCGCAACCCAATTGTGGCACGCACTCGCCTGTTCGGCACGCGATGGGCACTCCCACTGGCGCCCTCGCTGCGGTGGCCCACTGAGGCGGCAAGACGAGGCGAGGATGCGACAAAACGCAAGGGCATTTGAGCTCCATAGCGTACTGCGTGGATTTCTGCAGGCAGTATTAGCTTAGTAATAGGGGTCATTTTTCAGCGCCCCATATTTGTACTATTGCTGAAGAGGCGTTAGGTAGCTTCGAAAAATTTCGCGAAGAGGCTTGAAAGTGTTTCGACTGCAGCGACATTTGGTGTGTCGAGAGAGAAACAATTGAAAGGCTGTGTAAAATAGGCACAGCAGCTTCGTATTTTCCACGCGATCGAACGAGTGCGCTAGCGAGCCTCGCACCCCATGCATTAGCTTATCAGTCCACCTTCCTCAACAGCAAATGCCGTTTCTTTCCCGTGCGGGGCGTATGCCCGAGGCCCGTGGGAAGGAAGGCTTCTCTTCCTCACTTCTCCGGGCTGGCGCTGTGCGGTCGCGTGCATCGAGTGCTGCTGCGGAGAGCGAACCCCTAGGGCTCAGCACAGCAGTCCACAGATGACTGCAGAGCGCGGCGGGAAACGTTGGGATTTCCTTTTCTCAGGCTGCTATTGTTCGACCGTATCGTGGCTTGCCAGAGTTGTGCCACTGAAGTCACTGGCTGGCCTCTGGTTGTCCCGTTCGTACTCTATGCTCGCTGGGTTAATAACCATTTGCATTTTGCGCACGCACGTCTCTGTTCTTGTCGCTGATAGCGCTTCGTCTACCATGTGCCTACTTACGCGTGTCTGTCTCCTTTGTGTACTCATTGCACCAGAGTTTTCGTAGCGACGCATCTTATGCACGTTTATCTGCTTCTTCCGCGACATTCTCCACCATCTCGACGAACGCTTCCTGATCAGTAAAACGAGCAAGCGTTCTCTCATTTTTACTAAGGCTGCACTTTGCTTAGTTAAAGATCTTGAGTTTGATTTACGGCTGCAGCGACTACGTTTTAGTGTGTAGACAGCGAAAATAAACCTCAGGTTCCTTCAGTCATTCGCCTGACTGGAAGACGCAAGCCGCCTTCTTTTTATCTCAGTCGGTGAAGTGATCCTATTCCGCCCCTCCCGAAAGTTTTCTGCAGCTCACGTGGTTTCGCACAGCCTCCATGATCGGCCCACATTTGACCTAACGACGATGTCATGTGATGACGTCACAAATTTTAGCTTTTTGACGTCATTGTGACGTCATTGCATGACCTTCGCTTTTTTTTCTTGCACTGCTCGTGTTGAAGCCGACGCCGCGGGACGGAGTTTCGCGTTTTATGATTATTTCAAGGCTTCCTCTTAGAAGAAAAAGAACAGAAAATGATGGTGCGCGCGCTTGATCTCAGCGCGTGTCTCAAGCGACGCCAAGTGATCAAATGTAATGCCGAGACAACCACTATGATGGTTCTCACAAATGAAATGCGCAAATGAACTCTTGCGTATCTTCAACACAGTGGCCCACTCAGTTCCGGCTATATTGTGCCATTCTTTTGTTTTCTCTGCCAGATCGGTGCGGTGCGTAACTACAGGCTTTTCTTATCATTTCATTTCCAAAATATCAGGCCTGACATATGAAATATTAAGAATTTATCGCATGCGCTATTTCGCGTTCTTTGCGAAAGTCTCACCCGCTCTGGCCACCTATAATAAATACAAAACAGTGCTCTAGACGCGTAACAAAGCAGGACAAAGTGACCCACTCGGCGCCGAGTGTGTCACCCCATCCCGTTTTGTGCCGTGTCTGCAGCGTTATTATATGTTTATTATGGAAACCTATCAACTCGCCCGTACGGGCCTGTCATCGTCGGAACCTGGTGTGCAATCGTGCCACGCTTTTCTGCACGTTTGACATATTTCTCGTGCAGCTCCCAGTAACACCGCTTACTTTATTTCTTCCAGGACGGACATGGGGGTGGTAGTCTTCATCCTATTGGCGTTTGTACCGTTTGCCGTGTGCCAAAGGTGAGTGCCGTGGTTGACGTCGTTTGCAGTCCGTTTCAGTGTATCACCTCTGATGGGAGCACGGGGGAGGACTTATTTAAAATAGCCCGAGGGAAGAAAACTTGAGGCGTGGGGTATAAGGAGGAGAGTGCAGAATCAATTCAGTTGAACTGCATCTGCTCTCAGACTTAAGCGGCCGAGTTTTGGTTACTGCGAAGAAGTGATCACACTACATTACTATCGCTTTTGAAAAGTAATGGGATTACATCGATATTTAACAAATTTATCAGTTATGAGCTAACGCAACACTTTATTTGCGGCATATATATGTGTCTTTCTTGCATCGCAGCAGCTGCTGCCTTGTTCCCACGCTTGAGGTATGGCTTTCAAATTAACTTGTATTTGTCATTTTTTTTATTTTTAAACTTTATATGTCATGCGATGTACCCGATCTGTTATATGGCTATATTTTCGTGAAAAGTATTTGGGAAGTTTCTGGGAATCACTGGCGTGAAGTAATTCATGAGGCTACTCATTATAGCAAAAAAAAAAGAGCCTAATTGCTTTAATGGCATTACTGCCATGTCCGAGTGTATTCAGGTTTGCTTTATTTCTTGGAACCTGTGAATTTTTTCCATGCTTCGCGTGTCAGTTGCCTCGTGCGGAGTAAATGCCTTTAGCACGTGTAGCAGGCATTGCTGGTACATAAACTGTTACGATCGATAAACATTTGAGAATAATGCATAGCGTTACTCCGCAGCACAATAAGCGTCAAAATCGTCAACATGAGCAGATTTAAAGCATCACGAAAGAGGACTACAAGCTTGCCAGCAAAGTAAGCTGTCCTTCTACAGTAACAAGAGGAAAAAAAAAAAGACTTGAAATAGTCTCTCTCACACCGTAGATTGTGATGGAGTCTGCTCGGGCTTGATTGATTTGGGGGGTTTAACGTCCCAAAACCACCATGTGATTACGAGAGACGCCGTAGTGGAGGGCTCCGGAAATTTCGACCACCTGGGGTTCTTTAACGTGCACCCAAATCTGAGCACACGGGCCTACAACATTTCCGCCTCCATCGGAAATGCAGCCGCCGCAGCCGGGATTTGAACCTGCGACCTGCGGGTCAGCATCCGAGTACCTTAGCCACTAGACCACCACGGCGGGGCCTGCTCTGGCTTGGGCAATTTAAATCGGCATTAGTAAATGTGGGCTACATTATATCTTGGAAGAGTCGAGGGCTGAGATTGGAAAATTTTGGGTACTGCGCTGCAACAATCGAAAGAATTACTTACCTTAAGTCCGTGGTGTAATAGGGCCAGCACTGAAGTAAAAATAAAAATTGAAAAATGAGTAAGCAATTACATCGATCAAAGTTAACGAAAGTAGACTTTCGGAAAAGCGCTTTTGCATTCACAAGACAACGTAGTCAACAAGAAATGTCTGCAAGGCTGTAGCTATTGTACAGTGTGAGGGACTTAATTACTTAAGAGCTTAGGTCAGCAAAACAAAGTGGACCTCACTCAAACTCACTGAAGCAATACATATTACATTTTGAACTCACTCGGACTCGAACTTACGAAAAATTTCCTGAGCGCAACTCCCTCGGACTCGCGAAAATTTTCTTCAAGCGGGCTCGCTAGGACTGCTCAGACTCATAGCTCGATCTTAATTCGAGTGAGTCGACTCAAGAGTTAGTTCGCCGACCTTTGCTTGGGAGTACTCTGCTTCGTAGCCTTGGTGCAGATGGCAGAGAGACTCTGTAATCGGAGCCCGCTAGGTGTGTCAATGCACGAATACTGGGGAGCTTCCTGGCCTGCCATCTTATGGACGCCACCTGCATGAAGGATCTTTGCCGTACCTATGTCTGATTGATGATACAGGTAGATGACAATGAGAAGTGCAGTGCATCGCCAAATTGGGGCTGTGACATTCACACACAGATTCGGGATAAAAATATTGTCATCCACGAATTTAATTATATTTCTTTGCACATGACTAGAACTCGTACCTGTCGCATACCTGTCGAGTGCAACATTATAAATTATAATAATCTGCGACTGCAGACACTTATTTGCTGTTCGTTGTTTTTTGTACGCCCACATGTTTATTTTGTGCTTGAGGAGCATGCGTACACGTGTGCCATTTTTTTTTTCAGTTGTCTTCAGATTAAAAGAAAAAAGACTAGACATGCAAGCACGGTCATACGAGAGGAGTCGTGACACGACAACCGCCCCGTCTTTTAACATGAATATGTACCTACTACAGTTCAGCTTTGTTAGTAATAGATTGACCTAATGCATAGATTTCTAGACCTTGGTGGTGCGAGCGCAGGGACGACATGATTTGCCTACTTGAACTTTATTTCCAACACAAAAAAAAGTTGGGAGTTCCCCCATGCAGGCAAAAAAAAAAAAAAAAAACTCAGAAATAGCTGGCAAAAAACAGACAGTGGCGACCTGTCATATTAATTTTAGGTGTCAATTCAGCAAAGAAACAAAATACCCCTATATATAAGGAGCTGCAGTTTCCGACTTCTTTTATTTGTCGCGCTTAGCGGGTCACCCTTGAGGGTGAGGGATAGCTGTTACGAATTATGCATTCTTATTATAAAATGTCAAATTGGTCAGTTTTCTTGTGTTCGGCCTCTATATGGATTCCGCTGTTGTGGAAGTCGTATATATTTAACGATAATTCAGTGACACTCCGGGGGCAGACGGGTCTTCCGTTACAGTAGTTTTTGATCGCACATGCCGTGATTTGATCTCCTTGTGCCTAGTGAACAACCAGGTGTGGTGTTCATTTGCAGCGGCGGCGTGTACACGATTGTGGCGCCCCAGACACTGCGACCGAACCTTAAATACCACGTGAGTGCTTCGCTGAGCCAGAGCCGGCTGCCTGTGGACATGCTGGTTACTGTGTCGGGTCGCGCAGACAACGGCAACTTCAACGTTATCAACAAGAGGGCCACGCTTCAGGACCGTACGTCATCTTTCTTTTCACTTTGGCACGCATTCCCGCGTCCCTCTAACTCTTTTATTTTTGCTTGGGTGTCATTTGAGTCGTGTCGTCTAAAAGCCATCGTCACGAGACAGGCGCGTGATATCGTGACCGCACAAAGGAGAGCGCGCCGTTAAGTGAGGACATTCGTTATCCGAAGCGTCGCGAAGCACGGTGGTTGTGATGATAATAATTCAAGTTGCAGAATTTTGTACTCTGGCTATATCTTCGAAAACTAGCGCACCTACCTTATAGGCTGACGTACGACGCATGCGCACCTGCTCAATGCATCGGGGGTGGCTAGCGCGAAGCTTTGGGTATCCCATTTTAAAGCTCTACAAATAATAATAATAATAATAATAATAATAATAATAATAATAATAATAATAATAATAATAATAATAATAATTAGCTGTGCTGTTTATGTAATGCCCCCGCTGGTCTCGTTTAAATGAAATAATTACGGCCGCTTAGCCTCAGTGCTTCAAATCAATATATATATATATATATATACAGACAATAATGCCTAATGCCAAGGAAAGTATAGAGAAGTTATTGGTTTAATTACTTCCTCTATACTTTCCTTGGCATTATCTGTTAGATCTCATTATTATTGTGTCTAAATACGAAAAAAACGAGCCCTTAAGTATACACTTGTTTCCCTTTATATATATATATATATATATATATATATATATATATATATATATATATATATATATATATACTTTCACTATAATGAGTGAACGTACTGTGTACGGTTTTTATTTCATCTCTTTCTCGGTCTGCATCAATTTCCTTTGGTAATATATCACAAGAATCCATGTCCCAATTTCCGCACAGAAAAAAAAGTGCTGTGTGCAATCGCTGTGGTGATAATTCTTTTTTTTTGTTTGTTTGTTTCAGGTGAGACTCAAGTCCTGAGTTTCGAGGTACGTGCATTTTGATTGGTAATCAGTTGTGGTCATTTTGAGGAGTTGTGACAGTTACAGACATCGTTATTAGTTATTTCCTGTTATTCATTTGCACATTCAGTAGTAGTAATAGTACGAAAATATGATGTGCTGGACTGTGTATATGCAGCTGGTTAGGGCGACCACGTTCAGGTCAGACCGTGCAGTAGAGACCATACATGCAGCTAGCAGCAGCACATCCGCTGCGAGAGAGGGGGCAGGGGTGGGGGAGCGGGTGGGGGGGGGGGGCTTCACAAGTGTTCAAATTTTGAATGTGTACATATACACGTACACATACAAACGCACGCACGGTCGTACAGAGTATGGTTGAGCTCCACCCTTAATTCCCGAAAACATCTGGTTACGCTACTGATGAGCAGCACAGCGAGTGCGAGCGCTGCATTTTAACTGCATGAGCTGCATCATGGAGATTCCTGCTGCGCCGCAAGCGCTACTTGTAGGCTGGGTGATCGTGAAGACAGCATTAGTGTTGACAGCACTCAGTCCTCTCCCTGGAATCGCAAGACTTTTCGGCGCCAGTTGCTCTAGGAAGTGGCAGTCTTTTCCATTGTCTTCATTTTCTGTTTTACACCGCCGGTTGATGGGCAAGGGGAAACCTGAATGCCCACCTCCTCGCCTACGGAGCGGGTAGCGAGGGAGGCACTCTACTACCGGCCAACGTTAGTAACAATGTTGACTACTGGCGTATAGTTGCGTATTCCGCCCCGCCCATGCCTTGCAACGATTTGGCGTTTTAGATGCGAAGCAGCTTTATGAGTAGCCCGTGTAACGCTGTCCCTCCGTCTGCACCACTTCCCTCGCCGCAGGTGTTGGAGCCGTACCAAGTAGTTAACGCACTCCTAGCAGTGCGCGGTGACATCTCTCTCCCTCGCCTGCCGCCGGCTCGCCGCGTGTCGGCTCTCACTCGCTTCACCTTCTCCTCCCCTCGCAACGCTCGAGCCCACTCCTCAGGTGGGCATCATCTCACCCGCTCCACCTCTCTCCATATGTTAGGCACGGCGCTGTACTCCCTACCGGGATGCAGAAATTGGGTGCCTTCTTCCTCATCTAACCACTACTACCACCACCACCATTTGTCTGCTAGAAGAAGCCGCGAGTCGAGCCGTCGGGTGCGCGTGCCTCTCGAGGATCTCGCGGTGGACAGCTCACCGCTGCTTGCCGCGCGATCGCGCTGACGGGCTGGACGTCGTCGCAGAATGCTTCCCGCTATTGCGAGGGTTAGCGAAGCCGATCGCGTTCGCGAATGGCGATGCCAACACCGACGAGGCGCGAGCCAGGGGAGCCGAACGCAAGTGTCGGTAGTGGAAGACCAGCGACACCGGCAAGGTGCGAGTCGAGAACACCGATCGCGTTCGAAAATACCGATGGCGCGCTGGTAACACCGACGAGGCCCGAGCCAAGGAAGCCAAGCGCAAGCGTCCTAATGGGTCTCGCCTCCCGTGCCTTTGCATTTCAATCAAACGTTTCCTCGAGTAAATGCTACACTGAGTTTCGTTTCAAACCGTTTTTCGAGCACCCGCGTTGACGCCCGTTTCAACCGGGTCATCGCCATGCGCACAGCTGCTGCTTCGCATTCCACCAGGGTTCCCTTAAAGAAGATGGTCCATAGTTTCTTTTTTTTTCATCGTCGGGTGTTTGAGCTTTCCCTCATCGTGCAAGTGATTGCGTTCGTTGAGGGAGCTCATGTCGACTACAAGTCATGCGCCTTGCAAGTCAGCAGGATCGGCAAGAAAATAGACGTCATCGCTTGTTGCACGATATTGTGGATCTCGCTCTCCGTGCTGTCGTAGTCGAGAGAAGTTATGCTGGACTCGCGGAGGAATATAAATTTCTAGCGGAAGCATTGAGAACTAATCTAAAAAAAGAAAAAGCGTTAAACGTGGCCCTCAAAAATGCGCCGATCGCATGCATATTTTCGCACCGTTTTCCAAAAAGTGATGCTCTCTCGATTGTCGTCGGCTTGTTGGTGACCAGCTGTATCTCATATGGCAAACCGATCTTTTATCGAGGACGCTTGTCATATCACGTTGCCACAATAATTGTTGCCTTCATATGAACATATGACCTCACGTTCCGGTGAATTTCGTGACTCCAAGAAAGCGCTTGTCACCTAGTGGCCACGCCTGAAAAGTGCGCTAAGAGGGTCAACTCTGAAATGAGATAAGTTACCACATTGCATGCGTTGTGAAGCGGCCGCATAGTTCCTTTATTTTCACCGCGCCGCACACGCGAGCCCGAAAGAGAAGAAAGCGATATGCAAAGATCATTGCAGTGTGCTGCAATGCGTGGTATCACGGTGGAAAGACAGAAATCAACATATCCTTCTATCACTTGCCTAAGGATGCAGACGACGCGTGATGGAGAACGGCAGAAATCAGAAACTCGGGCATTGAAAAGAAGTTGATGCACAATACGGTAGTATGTTCCAATCAGTTTGCTCGCGACAACTTATTGTCCTCTGTTATTACATCTTTATATATACTGTGTACATTTTTATCAATATTCAGGCATCTCTAAGCACGGAGTATAGTATAGTTTATATAACCAGGTGCTTTAGGAAAATTAATGCGTTATGCGTGTGACTGTATTTTTCGCGTATGCTTGTTGTAGTGCTACACATTCTTAAATTAGGTTGCTGTAATCTTTCCCTCCGAGCCCTTTCGATTTTGCATGCGTGTATATGACGTGTGCACACGCGCGCGTGAAGGTCACACATGCGTACTGTGCGTGTATGTTTGTATGGATAAATATGTCTGTGCATTCGTAGTGTGCATAGTGTATTTGCATATATCTGCTTTGCATATCAACTACGACCAATGAGAAACAAGCGATTGTTCAGAAGCACGCGACCTTATTTATTAGAAACCTAATGACTTGGATCAGCAAACTAAAAGAAAGGAGCACTCTAAAAACAATCGGAACTGCGATCTGCCTTATCTCAAGATACACCGGCCTAGGCAATAGCTCTGTTCTGCAATCAAGTGAACTGCGCGCGTATTCAGCTTTTTGTGGGACAACGGAACTCAATGGGATACATGCAATCGGTAGCATGAGTCGCAGTGTAGTTATCTCGAAAACTGTTAAGGCCTTGCTTGTAGCGGTGTAGCAACGCAGCGCAAAAGCGCTAGCACCTTTCGGAGAGGCCCGCTACACATGGCAGTTGCCTTCTTCAATATCGGGCTCGCTAGGCAGGTTCTTCAACTTGAAGTCAATCTGATGTGGTCCGCCACAGAGGCTCGATGTTTGCGCGCACAGCGCAACTATTTCCGCTGTTTTGCCAGTGAAATCCTTTATGCCGATGAGAAGGAGGCGGTCCACGGCGAGCTCCTTTCACCTTAGACGAAGCAAACACGATCCAATGCCACAATTGAGAATTCTTAGTACAGTACCAAGTGAAAGTGATGTGTTGACCCTATTAGGCGCTGTCATTCCTGTTTTTTTTTTACCAGTGTTGCCAGCACAGGAAGCATTTTCTGAAGTTGCGAATAGGTATGAGGCCGACTGCGTAGGAGAGCCCACACGCCACGCCACGCCCCGCAACCAGCCAGAGCCGTATTGCCTCCTCTAGAAAGGGAAAGGGCACGACAGGGTTTTGGGCGTGCTGTGCTAACTTTGCTTCCGTTCAAACAGAAACAAAACAGTGAAAGAAGACAAAGTAGTTGGGCAGGCTAACACACTTCAAGCTTTGCTTTTACCCCATTTTTTTTTATGAGAAAAGGGCTCCTGAATTTTAAAGGAACTGGCAAATGTTCTGGAACTATAATGTATGTGTGTGTGCTATTTGGCCCAACAGAAAATATGACCACCATGAAAAGGCACTATAATGCATGTTTTTGCCTTGCTTTCATGTGATATTAGACTAAAACCCTTTTGTTTTTGTGGTGAGTTACGGTTGTAGGTCGTGCGTGCAACGGGGAGGAGTGGAGAGCCAGTGGTCTGCATAATTAGGAGAACTTAATGTCGGCATCGTATCTCTCTGGGTCGGTGGTTTTGATGTCTAGCCATGTCACTAGCATGGCACGATAACATCACAGGGCTTGGCTTTCACAATGTGGCTGCTATATAAGAAAATTGACACTTCGTGAAACAGTGAGCGCCCCCTATCGTGTGCCTGAGGAAGCCTTCAGAGTGCTAGGTGTGAGAGTTTATATGTGAACATTTCCCGCCATCGTACTGTTTCTGCCTGTGTGAACAAGCTAGATCGCTTGAAATTTGGCTGACGTTTGTTTATACTTTCGGTGTGTCAAAATGATCGAAGAAGAATGAATTCAATTTTCTTACTTGCACATGAGCTGGATTTGCAATTTTTCTCAATGTTCGATCGGCACTGACAAGGTTTGGACTTATATTAACTCAAGCACAGCGACCGTATGTCAGGCTCATCGTGCTTGGGTATTTAAAGTAGAAGGCTATATGTGAAGAAGATGATAAACCTGAACACCAGTGGCCAACAAGTTGGCCTTGTTCGAACAGCTTGTTTGTCATCAATGAAAATGGGTGCTTACATCGTTACGGCATGATATAAGAAAGCGAGCGGGAACATCGCTGGAGCACACTGCAGATATGTTGCCAGGCAAGAAATATTTTTAGGACAACCAAAAAGAAATATCAGAGTAGAGGGCTGAATTTGTAGCGAGTAGGTCATGTTGCAATAGCAGAATGCAAGTAGTAGTATGCAATAGTAGAACTGTTATGATGCAGCAATATTTCCATTCTTAGTATACCTAAAAGAGTACAGGTGTTTGCTCTATCATGCCTTTGTAGTGCTATAGCAAAGTAGATTGCACTGATATATACTTTTTAGACTTCTGGGACACGTACGTAATGACGCTTCAGTCATGCGACAGAAGTGCGAAGCACTTAGGTAGTAAATATGAAATGTGTACGCGCAATAAATGTGAAAACAAGCCGAATATGCCTGCTGCGCCTAACTCAGGCAACAGCGAGGTGCCCCTTAG